TCTTCAAGGACGATTAACTATTTGTTATTTTTTCCTGATTTCAGGTAAAGAAGACACTCCCTCCTTACTTGGTCTCTGTGGGTCTCTAACATCAGTGGCAAGTTACAAATCTCTAACTAGCCTCAAATCCAATGACTGTCTTGCAAGTCCTACAGCAGAGATGACAAGTCCAGGCCTAACTCCATCCTGAACATTTTAATGTAAAAGCCCAAAGATTTTATGTTGCAGAAGTTCTATTAAGTTTGACTGCTGGGAAAACCTTTGGAATTTTATATTGTTCTGGCACACATGTGGAGTTCTATTGCGTCTAGTTCAATATACTCCATGTAAACTGAGTTGGGGGGGAAAGATCCTGCCTTTTTTTTTTTTTTTTCATTAAAAAATTCTTATATTTGTCACTTAGAAAGTTTAAAATGAATAGGCCTAATGTTTTTCAAAGATCCTCTAAATAATCATTTGCAAATTGTACATATTTATTATTTAGTTGATTTTCATATATTTACATGTATCATAATTGCCAGAGACCAAGTTCTAGGTTTTATTCCAGAGTCTTTTGCTAAGTATTTTCTTTCCTTTTTTATTCAACGATTCAAATTTCTAAAAATGACTTATAATTTCTTCCTACGTTCTCATGTTAAAAGACTTGTTTTTAATATGAGAATGTTTTCAGCTGCAGTTTGACAGTGGCTTATTCAGTTTTTCTTTAAGTCATAATTTGATGTCAACCTCGCCTTCCACTTAACATTTTATATATTTTGTAGGAATGTGCCTTTAGGCAGTTACTAAATTTGTTAGGGTCATAGGGAAAGTACTTTAGGCCATTTAGATAAAATGAATAAAATTTACCTTTGTTTCCCCAAAATTTTCTTAAAAGTCGATCCATTAAAAAAAAACCAGCTGACTATGCCTCCAAAATTAAACATTGAAAAAGTGTAGAAAGATGTTGAAAAAAAAATATTTGATCAGGGAAGTTTTCAAGTTCAATCAAGTATTTGAGAGGCTTTTAAATTAGTATCAGTAAGTAATCACCATACTTAATGTCCGGCATAAGTGCCGTTTTCTTTCCCTTATGGGCTGCAGTGAAGTGTCATGTATGTTTTATAGTTTCTATTATTAATCATTCCACAGTCTCTTTTTAAAGTCAATATTAAAAAATCCCTGCACTTCTACAAGTTAAAAAAAAAGTTTTCTTTTTAAAAACAGCTTTAAACTGTATTTTATTTATTTATTTATTTATTTATTTATTTATTGCAATTTTTGGAACTATTCATTTTTGTCCCTAAAAACTTCAGCATATTGGAGAAGAAAATGGATTAAATCTATTTTCTGCAGTAATACGAGGAGAACATGCTCAGTTGTGCCAAAGAAGTTTTATACATTGTTTACACGAAGAGGCTACAATACTTACTGGGGACTTATGTGATATTTTTGTTTACTAATAAAACATTACTTTCAAACTTAGTAGCTTTGACATATAGGAAGAATGTTCCTCCTAAAGCAATTTATTTTTGTCGAGAGGAGGCAGAAGTGCTGAACTTACCACAGCCATTCTATGCGCTGGAAATGTAGGAATGTGGCGTTTCTCTGAAATCTTTAGAGCTTTACCCTCATAATTTGGAATTTAAGATAATAAATAGTAACAAGGCTAGTCTTATATGTAAGACAGTCCCAACAATGTCATTTCAGGGACAAAGGAGGCCTGGAATCCCTTAAAAGTAAGTTATCTTAGACATACCAGGACTACTCAGAGCTTTATTCTTTTAGCTTAAGGCTTTTTAGTACTTGTAAAAATGCAAATATTCTTGAGAAATGGTACCTTTAATCTCTGAATTTTGAACAGCTGATTGTGAGTGAGGTAGCCAAAGCAATCTTTACTCAGCATGGGGATGGAAGGTATAAAAGGAGGGCAGTGGGAATCCTGGGAGGAGGAAATGAGAAACGGTTAAGGAGGGGAACCTCAAAACTTTTAGGCTGGCCTTAAGCACTACTGCTGCTTTCCTAAAAACTTTCAGAATGTTTTAACGCTTTATAATTCACGGTCTACTCTCAACTTGACATTTTCCTCCAGTAACTTTAAATAATCATTGTTACATTTTTCCATACATTTTTATAATACAGAAAGTTAATTCAAGATTCCGTAATGAATACAATTTTTCAGAGTTGTCTAATGTGTTACTGTAACTTGTGCATCTTGAGTGCAGGTTGAAACATGACACCTGAGGACCATGGCTTCCTCCTTTCTTGGAGCTCTTGGTATAAAATTCATCTGCTGTGAATTCAGGTTTCTACTCAGTTCATCTCATACTAATTAGAGAGAGAGCTTATGTGTGCATGAGGAAACAACTTACGTCTCAATCTTTAGTTCCATTCAGTAGTGTTTATTGTTCATACACCCTCCCCAAAATAGAATGCTGAAGTACATGCTATTATTTCCATGTGTATTTTGTTGCCTTGATGTATTACACTTGTTGCATGTATATTAAACATTTTGTACCATGAATTAGTGGTCTTAATTTACCCTTGACAAAAAGTTACTTGATTCAGGTTATACACTGAGTTGACAAATAGGGTAAAAGTATATTACCTAACTAGAGGGAGGCCTGGTGCATGAATTCGTGCACGGGTAGAGTTCCTTGGCCTGGCTGCTGATCAGGAAAGGGACTGTAGGAGGCTGGCCAGTGGCAGGGAGTTGGCTGTGGGAGTGCACTGACCACCAGGGAGCAGCTCCTGTATTAAGCATATGACTCCTGATGGTCAGTGTGCATCACAGCGATGATCAATTAGACTTTTATATATATAGGTAATCTAAAATATTAGTATCAAAATGGTTTTGGAAGAATCCTTATTTCATCTTATATAAAATTGAATACATTTTGTTTTTTAAAGAACATGACACCCTTTAGGGTACAAACAGCTATTGGAGTGGCACAGTACAGCAATGGTCCTGGCAGTGTTACTGATGGGATCACATAATTGCCAACGTTTGCATTCTTGCCCGTCAAATGGAAACATCACCATCTTCTCAGTACCTGTCTGAAGGCATCAGGATGACTTCAGCACTAAATGAAATCATACGTGCATGTTTGTAATAGGTAAGTGCCAAAGTCAAGCTACTAATTATGATTGACAAAACTTTAAGTCAGTTTGCAGGTCATCTTTATTAGACTTACATACAAGTTTTCAAGTGGTTAAAAATGTCTCACAGTTACAACTTATGGAAATTATTTCCAAAGTTCCTACTAGGTGAAATCTCCACCTCTGAAATGTCACATAACTGCTTTGAAAATCAGGGCTCTTAATTTTTTTTTTTAAGTTAGTTCACTTTGCTCTTCATCTAAGCAAAGCAGCTTCTATGTAGGTTCAGCATTTGTTCTTTTTAATGGATAGGAAGGGGGAGATGAAATTATATCAGTATCATGAATAGTACCTTTTAAAATCATATTTTAGTCCAAAACAAACTTCAGATTGTTGTAAAATAGGTTACCTTATTTATATGTCACATTTCCTATGCTGTCAGTTATTTTTCTAAAACACAACTAAAATAAAAATTTCACAACTCTTGGTCTTACTACATGACACATTCTGGTATTTCCTGTTCTATTTTCTTTCATTAAAAATAAATGCTGGTCGACCTCACCAGTTTGGCTCAGTGGATAGAGCGTTGGCCTGTGGATTCAAGAGTCCTAGGTTAGATTCCAGTCAAGGGCATGTACCTTGGTTGCAGGCACATACCCAGTAGGGAGTGTGCAGGAGGCAGCTGATTGATGCTTCTCTCTTAACAATGTTTCTAACTCTATATCCATCTCCCTTCCTCTCTGTAAAAAAAAAAATCAATAAAATATTTAAAAAAATAAAATAAAAATAAATGCTGGCCTTGGGGGAGGTGTCCAATATCTCAACTCTTTAAGTATTAGAGCTGTACTAAATATACTTTCTTTGTTGTCGTCTTCTTGTTTCTCCTTTGGCACACAAACCCTCTCAATACATCCCCAATCTGATCTCCTACCACATCGCCATGTATACTCACTGCTCAAACAACTGGGACATCCCATTGCCAGCTTCCAGGTATATTTAATCTGCCCTAATCCTAGAAGCATTTCCTGCCTCCTCCCCTTTCCCCCCAGTTTGAATGGAGAATCCATGAATCATAGTTCTCTAACCTACTTGAGGCCAGTGACAGTTTCTGAGAGTTTTGTTGCTATTATCTTTTTCCATTACCATTTATCCTCCTACACCCTCCTCACCTCCACCCACACGGAAACATCTTCTCTCCAGTGTTTTTCACAGTGCCTATCACAATAAAGGTCTCAATAAGTGTTGAATGACAGATTACATTTTTGGAAAAAGTTCAAAAGTGATAGACTTTGTTTTCCCACATCCCTGGAATCTGTGCCCTGGGAAAAAGGAAGGAAGATTTTAAGGGAGTCATATGTAATTTAGCATAGTGAATAATTTTCCTAGAAATAAAAGGAAAATTTATTCGACTTCTATACTCTTAAACAAATGTGTATTATATGAAAAGTAGCAAACAATACTTGAATAAGACATTTCTTTTTAAAAATGTACACATAAATTAAGTATGTATGTTAGAAAATTTATCATTAATAAAATGAAAGTTTCCTTTCAGCAACATTACCAAGAATACAATTTCTAGCCAAACTCTTTTTGGTAGCCACTTTTTTTTTTTTTTTTTTTTTTTAAGTATTTATGCTTATTTACTATGATACTTAAGTTCAGAGAAAGTTGAAGCTTTCGGTTTTCATCCAAATACACTGCATGCAATATGTATTAGAAAAACTACTAGGGAGTTATATATAAGTTATTTTAGTCATAAATCATAAGAATTTCCCACAAGTACAATCAGTGTTAGGGGTGGGTGGAAATTTCCCTTCTGGTATTTATAAGTGATAAGTAAATTAAAATATGTGATTGTTTTTTGAAGCATTGTTCTAAATCTCAATATTTCTGCCTTTTTCCACCAATAAGTTATCAAAAAGAAGCATAGAAAAACCAAGGTAAATTTAATACTGTTCCAGTGTTCCAGATAAACATTTTTATACACATTTTATGAAAATATTAGCTAAAGGTACAGTGATAATTTTAACTTAACCAAAATATTTTAATGAAAGTATAAGTTAAAATAATTATATTTTTATGGATATTTATGTTGCAAATTTAAGGTAAATCAAAACAGGATAAAAACAAAAAGTTATATATAAATACCATATAGTTTATTTCTGGTAAGACACATGAACCTTTTTTCTACTATAATACAAATACATTAATTCCTCTGTGAACATCAGAATTTTAACACCTAAACATATTACCTATTTTAGGGGAGAAATGTTTCACATTTTCATAAAACACACATAAAACACACATAGATTCAATTAAGTGCTTTTTTATGTATATCCTAAGAAAATCAACAAATATATTTTAAAATATCATTTCTTGTCCTGCCATAATTTTTTTATTTCATTCCTATAGTCATAAGCTAAATTAATTAGGCATTAACATACAGTGACCAAAAGCTATTTCTTCAAGGAAATTGTATGTATAGTCTCTTGTTCTAGCATACTAATGTGAGATGCATATTTTGGAAATATTTTGTAACTGACATTGTATTATATAAATATAATAAAACAAGCCAACAGAGTGACCTAGGGAATCCACAGTGACACCTGAATTATCACATGGTGAAACCAGATGACCTTCCTGTGCCAAAACATAATTTTTACTTGTCTAAATTCAATATAGTTTTCCACTCTACACACAAGCTTGACTCTAGTGAACAGTTAATACAATCAGTAAATCACACCCCTTGTATAGTATCAGTATATAATACAGGATCTTTAATATCAAACTCTCAAGAGATTATTGCTTCCAAGTGTTAAAGAATAATTTTTCTTTTCTTTATAATATGTTCAGTGGTTGTGATTTCTGAAATATCTTTTTTCACTATCTCAAAAATTAGGAATACACAATTCATTTTAAAATGAGGATTATGATTTAGAGTCAAGGTAGAAATTTCTATTCATTTAAATCATTGGCAAGAAAGAGAAAAAAACACTTGTAAGACAAAAGAAAGGCTCTTGCCTAAGAGTCTCCATCTGATTTGGCCATGGCTATTTCAAGTTGAAGCAGCATCACTATAATTGCTGTTTTTGAGTGTTTTGTTTGTGGAAAAAAGCCTTTCCAAATTCATATGTACTGATCATGATGGCACAAGCAGGAGCAATTTTAATTAAACGGGGAGTTAGGCCTGCAAAGAGAACAGAAAAATATCAGAACAAATTTTATTTTAAAATAAAATTTTAAATTTATTGTTTGGAATTATTCTGATGATGATCAAATTAAATGAAGTGATACATCAAATATTGTGCCATATACTGGTATTCAAGAATAAGATAAACTTACTTCCAACCTCCTCAATTTAACTCCGTTACTTTACATAGAAATTTTATCTTATTAAGAGTAAATCAATTGTCATTTAACATTATTAAACCTATAAAAGATGTTTAGGATGAAATCATAAATGTAAATTATTTTCAATAATTTACTGCTGAATAGTTAATTTAGGAAGAATAGATTTAAAAGTAAAATTAATAATTTTATTTAACAATTTGGTAAAGCAAATATTTTTACCTGTAAATAATCCAGATAACCCATTTTTAGCAACAATGTTCTTCATTATAGCCCAGGTTGACATATGCAAAGGCTTAGAAACTAAATGTTAAAAAAAAAATGATAGCATTATGAATTACTCCTTAATTTCTAATACAGATAAATGCATAAAATAGTGTATGGCCTTTGGGAATATATCATTTCAATATAATAACAAGTTTGTCTAAAAAGTTATTTTAAATTCTAGAGGCCCAGTGCATGGAATTCGTGTATGGGGGGCGGGGGAGTGTCCCCCAGCCCAGCCTGGACCCTCTCCAATCTGGGACCCCTCGAGGGATGTCCCACCAAGATTGAGCCTAAACAGGCAGTCGGACATCCCTCTCACAGTCCAGGACTGCTGGCTCCCAAACTGCTCGCCTGCCTGCCTTCCTGATTGCCTCTGACTGTTTCTAGCTGCTAGCCTGATCACCCCCTAACCACTCCCCTGCCAGCCTGATTGATGCCTAACTGCTCCCCTGTCAGCCTGTTTGCCCCTAATTGCCCTCTTTTGCAGGCCTGGTCCCCCCCAACTGCTCTCCCCTACAGGCCTGGGTCCCTCCCAACTGCCCTTTCCTGAAGGCCTGGTCGCCCTCAACTTCCCTCCTCTGCTGGTTTGGTCAAACCTAACTGCCCTCCTTTGCAGGCTTGATTACCCCCAACTGCCTCCCTTGCAGGCTTGGTCCCTCCCAACTGCCCTCCCCTGCTGGCCATCTTGTATCTACGTGGGGGCAGGATCTTTGACCACATGGAGGCAGCTATCTTGTGTGTTGGAGTGGTGGTCAATTTGCATATTACTCTTTTATTAGCTAGGATAGAGGCCTGGTGCATGGGTGGGGGCCGGCTGGTTTGCCCTGAAAGATGTCGAGGATCAATGTGGGGGTTCCTTGGGGCATGGGGCGGCCTGAGTGAGGGGCCTTGTGGTTTGCAGGCTGGCCATGCCCCCTGGCGACACAAGCAGAGGCCCTGTTATTTGGAGTTTATTTATCTTCTACAATTGAAACTTTGTGGCCTGGAGCGGAGCCAAACCTTCTGCTAGCTCCTTGGTGGCAGCCATTTCTATTGGAATTTGTGTATCTTCTATAGTTGAAACTTTGTAGCCTTAAGCAGAGGCCTGGGCAGGCCAGGGTGTGTGGAAAGCTTTGCTTCCTCCATCGCTGGGGCAACCCTAGCCTAAACCGAACATCAGCTCTTTCCAGCTCCATGGCTGTTGGCATTTCTGTTTGGATCTATCACTGAAACTTTTTAGCCTTGAGTGGAGGGGTAGGCTGGCAAGAGCAGGGGGAAAGATTGGCTTCCTCCATTGCTGGGGAAACCCAAGCCTCCCTTCTGCTCTCTGTGGCTGGTAGCCATGTTGGTTGGTTTTATTTGCATATTTGCTCCTGACTGGCTGGTGGGCATGGCCTGTGGGTATAGTGGAGTGATGGTTAATTTGCATATTATGCTTTTATTAGATAGGATTATTTGTAATAGTTGGATTCATTAAAAAGAAAAATTATTAAAAGGCTATAAGTTTAAAGGTATAGAACTAAATGCAATAAAGGGGAAATATATAGAAGACTTCTGGACTGATAATGTTTGTTTCTTAAGCTTGGTAGTAGGTGTCTTTTATACTTTATGTTAAAAAGTTTCATAATGAAAAGATTTAAAGATATATAGAAATATTCATGTGGTTTCCAAAGCCAAAGAGAAGTCTTGATAATCATTTTCATTAAGTTTTTATAGCACACATTAAAAAAACATTTATTTTCTAAAAAGAGTTTCTGAGGATAATAACTCATTCTCCGTAGTAAGATTCTGCTTTATTAAAACCCTTCTGAATAGATATGCCAGATGAAATAAATTAGGTCAGTCCTATCTCCTCCAAAGGGCAGATCTATCCTGTAACTAACAGTAACACTTCACTTATTTGCAACCACTCAAATAACAGAAATATAGAAAAAAATTAATTTGTATATTTTAAAAAATCAGCAAAAAATAGATGTCATTGAGGTTCAAACATAAAGCTTATGAATGAAGCCCTTGCCAGGTAGGTCAGTCGGTTAGAATGTCATCCTGATATGCGAAGCTTGCAGGTTCGATCCCTAGTCAGGGCACATATAAGCAGCAACCAACAAATATGCAATAACAGACATGTCTCTGTCTTCCTCTCTATGAATGAATGCATGAATGAATGAATGAATGAAGGATGGTAGGGCTTAGGCAGCTAGAAGGCTTGCACCTAAACAGGGAAGTGGAGAAGGGACTATATTTTGGTAAATTAAGGATAAAGCTGTCACTAATACTCATCAGATTTATTTTCAGAGGTCTATAATTAATGTTTCTTTTAACATTAGAATACTGATTTTACTGTGCATGTAAAAATATTATTCTGGTGGGGAACAATTTATTTACATTATAATAGGCTTATCACAAGGCCTCTATGACACAGCTTTGTAATAGAAAATTTCCAGTGGGTTTATGACACTTTCTACAGATGATACTAACAGACTAGATCTAAAATGTATGCAACCAAAGGTACACTTTTGTTCTAGAAGAGATTACAGGATATAAAGTAAAAATAGATGGGATAATAGGTAGAAAAAAACATTTAAAAAGGAAAGCTAAAGTAAACAGGAAAATAATAAAATGTATAGGCAAACTAATGAAACAGAACACACAATAGAAAAAGGTTTCCCAGTACTTTTCTATCCTTCACTCTGAATTGTCCAGATTTATTTGGAGGGGGGGAAAACTCACAAAAACAAAAACCTTATGTAATTTAATCTTCTACATAGAACAGGTATAAGACTTAACTGATAGCAGGCAAAATAAACAGACTTTGATTTCTTAATTTTTTGTTGTTGTTTGGGTTTACAGTATTTTTTCCTGGCTATTCCTATCTAAGAGTATATTAGTTTCAGTTAAAGAGTAAAACAGACGGGGGGAAAATCTTATCTCTATTCTAGATATTCCTAACTTAATATCTGGAAAGAAAAACAAAATTTTCATAGTAGTATCTTAAAATGTTTTAAATGAATTAAACTTACTTTTATGACTTTCATACATCCAAAGATGTGTCTGCTTTTGTGTTTTTACCACATCAAATGGCAAAGTTACAACAGCTGCGAACTATCAAAAAGTAAAATTGATTGATTTAAATCTGCATTAAATTTTTCCTAAAGTTACATTCTCTTAATTAGCAGGCTATTTAATAAGGATAACACTGAAAATCATAACTAAACTAACACATAAAATAAAACCAGATATATAAGCTTTTATTAAAGAAAATAGATATATGTCTTAAGTATTTCTCTGAAAATTTAAGAATAAGTAAAAAGTCTCAGACAAGTTCCCCTACTCCCATGAGGCCACACAACTAGTGGCAGACATAATTCCAACCAGACATCTCTGACTTGAAACCAGTGTTTGCAATCCCAACATGCCTATGTTGCATTATTCCTTTATTATACATGAAGGTATAATACCTATTTTAAAGCAGAAATTCTCAAATATTTAGCAAGCATTTAAAATTTTCTAACAAATGTTTAAAAAACATAATAAAAATAAAAGAAAATGGACAGTGAACTTTTAGTTTTATATACCTATATATCTAGTTCATCTCAAAATGAACCAACTTAATTATTTTCACAATGACCTAATTAAGGAAAGTGGTTTTTTTTAAAGATAATTAAATGCCCTTAAGAATGTCTCATAATACATATATTAATAAAAGCATAATATGCTAATTAGACTGGATGTCCTTCCGGACAAAACGGGGGCTGTGAGGGAAACGCAGGTCTGGGTGCCTGCCAGCGGCCGGAGGGAAACCCGGGTCCCCAGAGGGAAGCCAGCGCCAGCAGCCGGGGAAGGAAGGCCTACTCTTGCATGAATTTCTTGCATCAGGCCTCTAGTTTGATATAAAAGCCATGTACAGTAAATAAACCTGATATTTTATTTGGCATATGGACTCACATTTGATCAATATACTCATAAAATGACCCATAAAAATCATTTATATTTTATTTCAACTGAAAAATGTTGACTTAAGTTCTTGAAATGAAATCGAATTCAAAGATCTCTCCATTATTGTGTCTCCACTTACACAATTTAGCATGTAGAAAAAAATAGCAATGATGTTATATTTGTTAAATGGATTTTTGATATTTTCTAAAATGATGTGGTTTTCTGTTTTCTGACAGGAAGCCCAGACATTGTTCACTGACATACTTTTTTTTTTTCCCCCTTAAATCCTCACATGAAAAATATTTTTTACTGATTGTAGAGAGAAAGGAAGAAACATTGATGTGAGAGAGAAACACTGATCAGTTGCCTCTAACATATACCCCAATTGGGGATCAAAACCACACCTAGGTAAGTGCCTGGACCAGAAACTGAACCCACAACCTTTTGGAGTACCGAACAACGCTCCAACCAACTGAGCTACCCAGGGCCACTGACATAATTTTTCTGTTGCAGAGACAAAATTTTATTTGAAAACAGTCAAAAGGCAGCAATATTTTCTAGATCATTAAAAATTTTTATTTATTTATTTTTAAACCATTTATTTATTTATTTATTTATTTATTTATTTATTTTTACATATTTTATTGATTTTTTTGCCCCCTTCCCTCCCTTCCACACATCCCCTCCCTCCCCAGAGCATTAAAATTTTTTTATACATCTTTTTATGTTAAACAGAATTAGTAAATAAAAAAACTTTCCTTCATTTTACTGGAAAACTGGAAAAAACATGCTAAACAAGCCATTATTACACTTTTTTTTTTTTTTTTAGATAGTAAGCATTTATTTGTAAGTTAACTGATGTCATTCCAACTGTTAGGAATTTCTAAAAATAATTGACTTTTTTTCTTTATAATGGATTAAGATATAAATTAAATACAATTAAATTACATTTAATCACCTCACAAATAAGAGGGATAATGAGAAGAGTTTGCTGGCATTGGAACTATTAAATTGTTTAAAAAAAAAAGTAATTGCTCTTTTGCTTCAATATGTTTATAACCCACTAGGCTTAGTTTAATAAATCTCAGACCTGGGTATATTCAGAGTTGAATTTTGAACTCAGTCACAGTAGCTTTCTTAGCCTAGGTTTTTGATACAATTATTCCAATATTTTCTTGCAGGTCTTCATCAATAAGTTTCTTCACTCTTGTTTTCATTTGGTTCCAATATGTCAGCACCTCACTCTAAGTCATCACAAATTCATTTTGTAAGAATGTGGATACAAGAAAACTCTTTGTGGCCAAGATAATGATGATATGAATCTGCATAAAGTCTACTACATGACTTTTTATTAAGTAAATGGGTGGGAAAAGGTGAACTCTACTACACAAAATAAAGGTCATTCTCATTCCTCCCTTCCGATTGTAAAATTCTTTTGTTAAATTTGTTAAAATTCATTTAAGAAGTGCTCAGCCAGCCTAGGCCAGGGAGCTCTGTTGGTTGGAGTGTTGTCCCGATACACCAAGGCTGCAGGTTCAATTCCCAGTCAGCGCATATATAAGAATCAACCAATGAATGCATAAGTAAGAGAACAAATCAATGTTTCTATCTCAAATCAATTAAAAAATTTGTTCTAAAGTACTTAGTTAAAATGTTTCCAAAGAAACAAATTAGCAGAAGAGAATGAAATTATATTTATTCAATTATACATATGAGATGACACTCTATTAAATATTACCTAACCAGGCATTTAATGAACAAATTGCAAAATACCTTGTAATAACAAAGCACTATTTAAACTACTATAATTATAACTGTAGCTATCAAAAAAGTCCAAAACTTCAAAATATATAATAATAATGAATATGTAATAAAAACATAGATACAAAGTGTATTTTAGAATATTTGAATGGCTAGTAACTTATTCCCTCAAAATAGGATAATACTCAGAAAAATTTTAAAGCAATGCAGCTCAAAAGTGCTATCTCAATAGATATGAAATGCTATGTAATATTCTGTTCTGTTTTAATAAGACAATTATCATTCTGACATACTAACAACAAAAGAGTAAACTTACAGAACCAGACAATGCTCCTGAAGTAAAGTTGACCGTAAATGTGGGTTCATATAAGCCATATTTCACACACAACCATTTCCTTATAAGTTCATAGTTATACCAGTACATTGCTATAAAAAAAGAATGAAATGAGTGCATATTTAGAAATGAAATGCGGACCTTAGAGAAAATATCTGTGAGGTTATCGATTAAAGGAAAAGACATTCTAACCTTTACATATCTTGTTTTCTGTTTAAATGTATACTAGATAAGAGTTTTTAAAAAGGAACAAAATTATCAATAATATTATAGCAGTCTTATAAACAAAAACTCTATGCATCAGTGAAATAGAACTTTAATTCCAAAATCCAATAAAGACAGTAGCTGAAAGGAAAAGTACAAGCCAATCTCATTCATGAACATACGTAGGTATACAATCTTACAGAAATTAAATAATAAAAATCAACTGAAGCCAGATGTATTTCATAAAAGATTCATTTGCTATGACTAAATTGATTTATCTATAATAAACCTTTCAGATGCCACAAACCATTTTGACAGAACCATGGGACCACTTCTATTTAAAGCAAACCAAGAAATTTCTTAGAAAACTAGGGTTAGAAGAGTTCTTTAACTTGATAAAGGGTATGCATCAAGAACTCATCCCAAAAATAATTAATGGTGAAACAACAGAACTATTTCCTTTAGAACAAGGAAAATGATAAGGATGCAACATTATCATTATTACTATTCAAAACTTTACTAGGCAGTTTTATAGAAAAAAAATAAAAGCTATAATGGTTAAAAGTGAAGAAACAAAGTAGCTATAATTTACATATTAATGTCTACATAGGCAAACCAGAAGATATGAAAACAAATTAGAATTATAGCAGTTTTAAAAATAGCTAACAATAAGCTAGTAGAGAAAAATCTACGGTAACACTGACTCAGGCACAAAGGGATTTAGGAATTAAAAAAAAAACCATTAGATTTTAAAATAATCTATCTATATATCTATATCTATCTATTTTACTGATTTCAAGAGGAAAGGATAAGGAGAAAGAGAGAGAGACATCAATTATGAGAGAATCATTGATCCGCTGCCTCCTGCAGGCCACCTACTGGGGAATGAGCCTGCAACCCAGGCATGTGCCCTTGACTGGAACCGAACCTGGGACCCTTCAGTCTCAGGCTGACGCCCTAGCCAAAGCAGCTAGGGAAAAATAACAGATTTTAAAATAGCTACCAGAAATTGGGGATGGGTGGGTATATCTAGAAATAAATCTTTTTTTTTTAAGTGGCATATAACCTTTATAAAGAAATTTTAAATCTCTGCTAAAACACTTTAAAGAAGAGTTATATAATAGATATGACATTCCTGGGGTGTAAGGTAATATCAAGTTTTCTTTTATAATGCACTAGTAATTTAGACAGTACTATAGTATCAGCACAGGCTTAGGCAAACTGGCTAGTGAAAGTTTGGTATGTCAGAGGTGATACTGCAAATCACTGCAGAAACTATGGTTATTCAGTAAATGATGCTGGGGTAACTGTCCATTCACGTACAGGGGGAAACAAATACTTATTCACTTCATAACCCAAATCAATTATGGATACATGAATGACCAATGAAATAGTGTCCAACCTCAGCAATAATCAGAAAAATGTAAGTTAAAGTGAGATTACTACTTTAAATTAGTAGATAAACAAAAATTAAGAACTGCAACAATGAAAGTACTAGGGAGGGTAATTTGTCCTTTTAATTTTACTTTTGTTTAAGTGTGAGTAAGCAAGTAAACAGTGCTGCTGTGAATAGTCTCCTAGTGTACAAGAATTTCTCCAGTATTAGATGTGCTGGTTCACATAAACCTATTTATTTAAAATTTCATTTGGTAATAGCCAATTCTTTTAAAAATTGCAATGTTCTAATTCATATATTGAAGTGGTGATTTCATAAGTATTCATTTTATTAATATACGTATATTTTATATCTGTTACCTTTATTGTATCAAATATATAATACAAAAATTAAAAATACATTTGGCATAAGAATCTATGATTAATTACACACTATATTTTTCTAAATAGCATATCAACTGATCACAACGTTGGAGAAAAATACTAATGAAAAGGGAAAGATGGACAGAGATATGAATAAAAGAACCCCCCCCCAAAAAGGATTAACTCAAGAAAAAAAAGAAAACAGAACATTAATACAAAGGTTTTTAATAATTATTTCTTTCAAGTCTTAAAGGAAAACTACGATACACAAGAGAAATGGTACTGAACTATGCACACTCCACGTTAACCTTAAATGTCTTTTTCATGATTTTCATCTTTTTCATAATTCAACAATTAGCACAATCTTCTATCAGATTTATAACAGTCTTATTTATAAGACACTCATTTAATAGGGAAGGTTTTTATCTTGATAATTAAAAAGAGTAGGAACCAATATTATTCACAGGCATTCTTAAATGTACTTTTGTGATATTTTTATTTATAGTAGTTTACTTACTTAGTACTTTACTTACCTTATTCTAAGTAAATTATAATCTCTGTAAATTCTAAGTAAATTATAATACTTTACTTACCTTATTCTAAGTAAATTATAATTATAATTTAAAATAAAGATAGCTTGCATTATCTAAATGCAAATAAACACCAATTAATGTTGGAAAAGAAATTAAACACAAGAAGAAAATAAAACCAGGCTTAAATTAGAAACTATTCAATAAAGACTCATAAAGCTTTGAGATCCCAGCAATGATCTAGAAGTTTTGGTTACTAAAGAAGAGAGCTCACACTTAGCCTTAAGGGATTTAAAATATAGTTGATTTTATAGTTCTATATAAAAAGACAAAGTTAATTAAAATTTAGCAGATAATAGTATGATATATCCTACCTGAGAATGGTACATCTCTAAGAAGAGTAGGAGTCCAGCCTCTCCAAAGGGAAATCCAACCATCTTCTGATACTTTCTTGCTTATAAATTGATGCAGCTCGTTATAAGAAAACCTTTTAGATTGCATCTTGGTTCTTATCAATTCTAATGGACTTATTACAGTTACTGCACCAACTAATTAATACAAACAAGCAAATATTAAAAAACAAAACCAGAGCCATGTACTATGCAAATACACATCCAAAATTAATATCGATAGTTCATACATTTTATATTTAAACTTCTATTTTGAAAAGTCTGCAACCTTAACATCAAATATTTAATGCCAACATACTGGGGCAGATTTATTTTCCTTGATAAAGGTATTTCTTAAAAGTCTGTTTTTAGCACTAGGTAGTTTGCTCACTGGTTAGAGCATGGGCCCTTGAACTGAACGGTTTCGGGTTTGATTCCGGTTAGAGGCACACAACTAAACTTAAAATCTAGAATCTAAAACAAATTCATTCTAAAATCTCTGTTTGAGATTCAACAGGAATGGGTTGATCCCATTTCATTCTGATAGCAATTACCATGCCATATGACTTCTAGAGTATAAATATTAACAAATCAATAAAAACTACAAATGCAAAATATGTATTACTAATACTCTGAAATTTCATATAAATTCTCTGTGAATGTCAAAATTATAAAAGATTCTTTAAGCAGAAATTAAAATGAAAATATAATAAAGGTATTACTTACATCTGGCCACAATTCCAGCAAAAATTGGTATATGGCGTTCATTTTCTCCTAATTTAGATTTCAGGAAAGCAGTTAATTGATCGTAGCAAGTAAAATAGATAACTGTAGCAGGAACTGCCATTACTCTGTTAAAAACGCACAAACGAAAAAATTTATACAAAATTACAAAATGTTTAAAAATAAAGCTAAATTCCTTATATTTTATATAAGATAAAAACCATAATGAATCAGCCCATGAAATCAATTTTTCTTTTATTTTAAATATTATTAACTTATTAGGTTTTTAAAATAGGTATCTGCCCTCCAGAAGTTTACATTCTAATGTAAAATAAGTTGTGAAAATAAGTTAGAGTACCAGTCAGACCATAAATAGTAAAAGATAAATGAGAACACTTCTCTATCTCCTAGTCTTGTTCTATCTGTTTCTGACCTCCCAAATCTTCCCTCCCAATTATATTTACCATTACATAAAAATCACTGATGTAAAAAGTACAAGAGTAATTGGAACTATTTTTGACATACGGACCATATTTCATACCGCCTTAGAAAACTGGAAATAAATTACCACTAATGATGCCATCCTTATATATGGGAATTATATATAATTACATATAATTATATATAAAGGGAAATCTATAAAAGGACAAAGTGCAATGAATGAGGTTCGCAAATCTGCAGCTTTTTCAACAGGGAATTATTAAATTAAATACAGTTGCAGACACTGTTATGTCATAAATGTTAATGCAACAAAAAACCTTTCTATGTTAACGTAAAAAACCTTTCTATGTACTTTAGATGTAGTTAAAGTACATTCACAAACCATATTTTGGAATGCCCAATGTTCTAAAATGAAGTTTGATGATGAGAATTTAGAAATGATCTAACCACTAACTTTATAACCTTATTCAGTTAAAATATATGCCTCTAAGTTGACTACCAAAAGATAAATTAGAAAGAAATGAGGTATAAAAGGGCAAATTATTATTTGGAATTTTTAATTTGGCCTTACTAGTTTATCACATTAATTCATATAACAGCTTGTTAGAAAATTTAAATTATCTGGAAAAAGAAAAGTATATTTATCACAGTATCTCCTTATTTTAGTAAAAAACAAACACCAAGTTCTTAATTTCTGAACATGGAAGTTATGCTTGTGCACCACAGACAACACAACAAGCCTAGTTGCTCAAATCTTCTATACGTTCAGGACGGCATTATGTGCATGCTTGACCTTTGGCCGACTTCAAAAAATGTAGCCCTTGGAATATTCCCCATTATAAGGTTTTCGGGTATACCTGGAGCATTATTTCAACTTATCTGGATTTATTTATACAAATGATAGGATTTTTGGTAAACATCTGCTTTCCTTTTAGGGATCTGGAGTTTTAGTAATCAGAGTTGTTCACATGTTCACAAACACAGAATACGCCTGAGTGATCAATCCTCAATAAAAGCCCTAGGAAACACTTTACACAGGCTGCTGTAGTTCAATGCTGAAAGAATAAGCACAGAAATCACACCCTCCCCCCCCCCCCCAAAAAAAAAAAAAGAAAGAAAAGAAAAAGAAAAAAAAAAGCACATCCTGTGCAATGCCGTGAGGGAGGACTCTGAGCCCATTGCCTGGCCAACTTCTTTTGTCTTTTTCCTTTACTAAACCATAGGCGAGAGTATAACCTTCTTTAGGTCCCATGAGTCCTCCTAGCAAATCATAAATGTGTTGGTCGTTGTGGGACTCACAAAACAATGTTTTAAAATATGAAAAAGTTCTAATATTAAAAATACACAGTTTTGTTTAATCATTGTGTAATGCAAAACAAAACAACACTATCATTTAGTAAAAGAAAATACTAAATTTCAACTTACAAGGTGGGGGGAAGGCCACTCCACAGGGATTTAATGCCCTCATTTCGAATGATTTTTATAAATGCATCCTAAAATTATAATAGAGAATAGTAGTCAAAATATATTCCTAAACCTGATATACAAAAAGCTTATACTAATAACTGGTAATTTGATTCTCTCAAGTGTTTATGTCTAAAATACAAGTTTTTCAGATGTATGTATGGCCAATCTTTTTTTTTTCTTCTTCTTTTTTTTCTTCCTCTAAGGAATTGTCATTAACTTTCAACACAAGTAAAGGATTCTGGATAATACTTTTGGCTTACAGAATAAAGTCTGTATTCCTCAGCTTTGGATTATTCTAATTAGCTCTAAGAAAGCAAGTTTTAAAAAAAATATAAAAAGGAAGTGGAATAATGGCAGGGAATTTGTCAGATTAATTCTGCTCACCATTTATAAGATCTGAGGAAAATATTATTTAAACCTAATATTTGAAATCTCTGGAGAGGAACCAAAACCAGGCAAAAACTAAAGGGAAATCTGCTGTTAGAGGACAAAGTGCAATGAGTGAGATTTGCAAATCTGCAGCCTTTTGCCTATGGAAGTGGCAAAAAACCCACAGCACAGTCAGCTGGTTGAAATGGCAAGTCCAGAGTCCAGGCAGGAAGAATAATCAGACGGCTGGGGGGCAAATCCTGGAAAGGAAGGCACTACACCAAGGCATAAGCCCCCAATTTGCTTGCAGTAGCAGCCACAAAACTTGGCTCTCTACTAAATTATGCAATCCCAGCAGAATTCCACAGGGCCCTGCAGGCCACCAGAGGGAAGCACCTGTTTAAGTTTGAGTCCAGCCAAAGTTAACTGCCTTTTAGAACAAAATTGACTCTTCAGAAAGAATCCAGAGTCTTTATCATAATCATTCACAAATCCACTATCCAATCAAAATTCATTAAACAAAAGAAACAAGAAAATGTGCTCATACTAAAAAAAAAAAAAAAAGTAGTGAGTAGAAACCAACAAATATGATTCAGATGAAACTATTAGCAGCTATTCTAAACATGTTTAAGGATTTAAAACATGATATATGCAGAATGAATGAACAAACTTGGAATTTCAAAAAAAAGTTACTATAAAAAAGCCAACCAAATGAAAACTCTACATCTAAAGTGAAAAATTTACTAAGTGGGCTTCACAGCAGAATAGAAACAGCAAAGAGCAAATCAATGGATTTAAACCTGAAGGGCAAAGTATGTTTACAGTGGGGAGTATGCAAAACACAGAATTTATTCTTGTATTGCTATTTATTCATTTTCCACATGAACTGCAAACCTATTTTTGCCCCACCATGTATAAAATAGTATAACAACCTTATTTCAATAAGTCATAGATGAAAGGAGAGAGAATGATACAGGAAAAAAGTAAAGCCAGAATTCTATATGCAGCAAAAATACGCTTGAAAAAATGCTCAATAAGTGCATTTTAGATGAACTAAAACTGAAAGAATACTCTGACAAAATACTTTTAATAAAGAATGCTGAAAGAAGTTCTTCAGAATGAAGTGTTCACAGAGAAAAACAATGAGTAGTTTTTTATACTTACTTTCACGCCAAAATATGTGAATGAATGTATGTAGCAGCTTTATTCAAAATAGCTAAAAATTGGAAACAACTCAATATCTATATCAAGGAATAGTACAAGAAACAAACTTTTGAAACATGCAACAATGTAGATGAATCTCTACATAAGTAAAAAGTGCCAATCCAAAATATTATATATGTTATGAGCCTATTTAAATATAATAATATTCTTGAAATTACAAAATTGTATAAATGTGAACAGATTAGTGGTTGCCAGGAGTTCAGAGCAGGTGAAAGCACAAATGGGTGTGACTATAAAAGGGAAAAAGAAGGATCCCGGTGGGGATGGAATTGTTCTGTATCTTAACTGTATCAATGCCAATATCCTGGTTGTGGTGTTATACTTGTTTTGTAAGATGTTACTATTAGAGGAAACTGGAAAAAGGGTACTTGGAATTCATCTATATATTTTTCTTAAAATTGTGTACAATCTATAATGATCTAAAAATAAAAAAAATATTTAAAAATTTTAAATAATATACAACCCCCCTTTTGTTCTACATAAAAAAGCATGAACAGCCCTGGCTAGTTAGGCTCAGTGTTAGAGCAACGGCGTGTGGGCTGAAGGGTCATGGGTTCAATTCCAGTCAAGGGCACATACCTCAGGTTGCAGGCTTGATTCCCAGTCCCTCCTTTGCAGGAGGCAACCAACTGATGTGTCTCTCTCACACTGATGTTTCTCTTTCTCTCTCTGTCTCTCCCCCTCCTTCCACTCTCTCTTAAAAGAATCAATGGGCCGAGACCGGTTTGGCTCAATGGATAGAGCGTCTGATTGGGGACTGAAGGGACCCGGGTTCGATTCTGGTCAAGGGCATGTACCTTGGTTGCGGGCATATCCCCGGTAGGGGGTGTGCAGGAGGCAGCTGATCGATGACTCTCTCTCTCATCGATGTTTCTAGCTTTCTATCTCTCTCCCTTCCTCTCTGTACAAAATCAATAAAATATATTTTAAAAAAAAAAAAAAGAATCAATGGGAAAAATATCCTCCAGTGAGGATTAATGAAAAGTTTGTTTTTTTAAAGCAGGAAAAGAAAGTTAAAGAATTAAAAGCAAAGAAGTACTTTCTTTTCCCTGCTTCAATATCCACATTTTATCTGTGGCTATTGAAGTGCTAACTATATGATTAAATTTTACTGTCTCATAATTTGAAAGATCTTTCACACAAGATTAGATATAAAAATAGAAAATATACTGTGATTATACATAATATAATCTTACTAATGTTCCCCGGAAATATCCTGGCTTCTTATACCATGCTTTGCTGCCTTCTTCTTCACAGATACAGACATGATCCATAAGTCCATTATTATATACAAAACATTCTCCTAACAAAGAAGATTACAACAGTCAACAATTATGTCACACAACTATATTATTTTTATTAATGAATAAATTGAAATTACAAGGAGGGGACTAGAAAATTATAAGAAAATATATAATCTTGTCCTCACCTTTTAGGAAGAAATATAAATAATGTGATTTGCTTAATGACACAGCGTTGGTATCTAAATTCACAGTGGTTAAAAGTGAGCCATTTTTATGTTTTCAGAACTGTAGTAAGCAATACAAACAGAAACTTTTTTTTTTGTTATCTGGGGGAATGGAGAGAAAAGATAAAGGAGGAAAACCTGTTTTGATATGAGAATATGAGTGTCTTCTCTATTGGACAAGAAAACTCTGTGGTATGAAAGGGAAATGCAGACAGAAATATATTATGAAACCTCATGTATATCTGAATGATGCTAAAAGAGATCTTTAAAGTTCTCATGACAAGAAAAATAAATTTGTGAAGTAATGGATGCTAAACAACTTGTGGTGATCATTTTGCCATGTATACATATAATATATATTAAATCATTATGTTGCATACCTAAAGCTAATAGTGTTATTTGTCAAATATATCACAAATAAAAATAGAAAAAATTGGTCTTCTTGACCAATGTAAATAATGCTAGTTTAGACTTTCATCACCTCCCACCTAATTTACCACTTCTTCTAATACCAACTCCTTCCCATTATTGGACTAACTCTTGCTGTCAAAACTATCTTCTCTGTTTGACCACGTACATAATTCTGTAAGTTTCATAATATATAACTCAGTGCCTCCTGCTTTTAAGGTTTTCTTTAATGTGCAGGAAACGACCTTACCTTTTAGTCTCTTCTTATAATCCATATATCCTGTTATTCATCTGAAATATGCCTGCTGTTCATTCCATCTCACTGCTACACATTCAACAGAGTGGCATTTATGTCTGAGCCAAGTTCCTCACAGTCCAGTCAGTTTTCTCCTTTTTAAACATGTTTTAAAGTGCCATTAACTTTATAAAACTATAAAAATGGGTGAAGAAATTGCCATTTTTGCCCATCTAATAAAAATATATAATTGCTCTTCTCAGGTTGCACACCACTATATTGCCTGACAATTAACCAAGCTGACTGATAATGAGTTTCTTATCACTGTAGGATGACTATTGATGTTGTAGAATTGGCTTAGCTCTTGGACAAAAGAGCAAGCTAAATTGTAAGTTCCCTGACAAGTTAATTCTGTTCGTACTTGTGAGGCATTATACCCCAAATTAAAAATCATGCTCTTACCTAATTAGTCTAGGTTTATAAAAGTATTATATATATGCATTTGTTTTCTGCTTCGATCTCATCATGTACAATTAGGTGATGAAAACATGCTTCTGCATTATGGAAAATTTTTTTGATTGACAAAAAAAAAAAAAAGATTAACATTCAAGCAAAAATGAATGCACTAAAAATCTTACATAAACTCCCAGTACATAACTAGTACATACCTTTGGAAAATTGGTTGTTTTGAGCTTGCAGTCGAATTTTAACAACATCCAGGGGTGTCACTACAAAGATACATTAAATTTCAATTAACAAGAGATACATGTAAATTGAGAAATGTTTGTCCAAGGAACACAAAATACTTGGTGGGGCAAAAGTAGGTTTACAGTTGTGAATATGTATTATTTATTTTATTAATTATTATATTTTTTCCATATAAACAACTATAAGCCTAGTTTTGCCCCAACTTGTGTATTGAACCATACTATTTCTCATGACTATATAATGGGTAAGATTATTTATCTTAAAGTGATTTTTGAATGTAACATTCTAATTTTTACCCTTGAATTTTGTTTGAAGAGGATCAATGAGAAGACAATGTAATTACTTCTGCTACAAATACTAAAATGTCACTTAAAATTTTCTACATCTACAATTCTATTAACATTAAAACTAAAATACTAGTCCAATAGTCTCTTTAAATATGGAGAATAACTGTATTATATGTAATTAATAATCAACAATACTAGTCTTCCTAATCTATTAAATTTACCTTTATCAAATGAAAACTATAGTTAATATAAATTTGAGTAAACTAATCATACAACATCTTTACCAACAATCTGTGTTATTCCTTTTTGGAACAAAACAGCAAAGGAGAATAGTTTTAACTTGCATGCTCTATCTGGCCCAAACAGAAAAATGCCTAGTAATGGTACCAAAGAAAACTTTCCCTCATATGACAATGATCTCTAAGGCCTTTACAACTCTAACATTCTGACCTGAAGTAACATATTTCCATCCTAAAGCTATATATGTGTATGTGTGTGTGTGTGTGTATATATATATATATATATATATATATATATATATATATATATATATATATATGTGTATATATATATATGTATATATATATATATGTATATATATATATATATATATATATATATATATATATGAAAGGCTAAGTGTACCTCCTATATTGTGTGACTAGTCGCTATGACATGCGCTGTCCACCAGGGGGCAGACGCTCAAAGCAGGAGCTGCCTTGGCAGTGGTGGTTCTTGGGTGGTGCACCCTGAAACCAAAGAGGAAGCTCAAATCCTCATGGGGCCACACAATTCCACTTTTGTCCATGGGTTATGTTGTTGCTGGGGCACTGAACATTTGCATTTGCGTTCCATACCCTGTACGACAGCAACTCCTCTCACACTTTAGGCCCTCTTGAGGGATGTCAGAGAGCCGGTTTTAGCCCAATCCCCACAGGCCAGGCCAGGGTATCCCATCTGCCGGAGGGACCTCCCCACCTGCCGAAGGGACCTCACTCACTCCACAGACGCCTTTTAAGCCAAGGTGCTAGCAGGTGTGGCAGGCCAGGAAGGGACCAAGGGAGGTTGGCTGCAGGGCGTGTCTGGCCACTGTTTCTCCCAGTCCCACCCCACTGCCCACCTTCTAATTAATTTCTTTTCAATGTGCACAAATTCGTGCACTGGGCCTCTAGTTAATGTTTGTCCTAGTCATCTGCTAAGTTATTTAAATAAACCAGCCAAGTTAGAATCATTAATATGTTAAACTGTCACCTAACTATGTCATTTGGTTGTGTTTATAAGAAATTGACTATAAATTAAAAAAACAATAAAACCCTACAGAAAAATGTGGTCCACAGAAATTTAAGAAATTCACCATTAACATAAGAAAGGTTAAACGATTTGTTATTTATTGCTATTATAAATTGCCCAAATCCTGTATAATGCTGAAATTTTATTTTATCTTCTTGCTTTCTATTTTAAAAAGGATAAAAGTCAGAAAATTTTAATACTAATAGGGACTATAATAAACTCCTAAGATAAGCTCCTAGTTTACAGATGAAAAATGAAGTTCAAGAGAAGTAGAGACAATCCTAAAGTACATTCACCCTGAGAATGACAAAGCAAGGTCTAAAATTCAAGTCTCTCAATATTCTGTCCTGTGTTCTTTTCTTGTTATGCTGATGGAGGGATACTGTTATTTATAAAGGATGAATAATAACATTAGCATTATTTCACAGATAGTAAAACTCAAATGAATTGATTCATCCAGTTACATAATCTGTATCAGTAACATTATTTTACCCATTAGTGATGTCAGTATGGCCCCAGTACAAGAGGCAACAATCTGTTGAAAAGGTGTTACATTGCAAATCTGTGGTCTCTCTGAGTCAGGATCCATATTTTTAACTAATTGAAGAAAAATCTGTTAAAGAAAAGCAAGATGTAAAATAAAAGTTTAATGGAAAATGCCCTCAAAATTCACTACTATAAATTTTAAAAACTATAAAAACAATAATTAGTATTAATGTTAAAGCACATGTTGTGACAACTATCAAAAGTAAATGTGTAAGTTCTATACACAAAGGCATTACATAACTGTCATTAATAGAACATGTTCTTGAATTTTTCACAAAGGGTACTTCAGCTAACCCCATGAGCAGCATTGCCCTTGCAGGACAGCTAATAAAGCATTAAGAAAACAGACTCTATGTAACAGAATGAAAGCACCGAACAACAAGACTCAGAATCTGTGAGTTTAGCCTCTTAAGAACTACTCAGATACTCTAATATGGCAGTTATCAGCAAATACAACACTATTTTTACTGCATACCAAAAGGTATAAAATAAAAACACATAACCTCCATAAGAAGCATGTTAGAAAAATTTGATGAGAAAAGCAAATTATACTTTCTAAAAATTCAGTTAACAAAAACATAAAAATCACTTATAAACTTGCTACTCAAAATAACCACTGGCAAAATATAGGTGTCATCTCTCCAAATGTCATACACACAAACACATACGTAAATATACAAATGTTATGTGTATAGATTATATACAGGGTGGGGCGAAAGTAGATTTACTATTGTGTTTACATGAAGCAGTTTATTCTTGTATTATTATTGTTTTATGATTTTCCATACAAACAACTGCAAACCCACTGTTGCCCCACCCTATATGTATATGTAGATATTAATTAAACATGATTAAATGTTTGTGTATCTGTGTACATACTTTTTTTTGTACATACTTTTTTTGAAACAAAAATAGGTTACTACCATTGTATGTAAATTGTAATTGAAAAAGAAAAAGGTACTATTCATATTGTTTAGTAGACCGCTTTGACATTTTAAAATATAGACAGTGTCAGTAAATATAGATCTGCATTATTATTTTTAATGCTTGAAGTTTTTAATTTTATTAATCAGTCTCATAATGTTAGATATTAAGGTTACTGCTAATTTTTCAATAGTGAATATGTTCTCCCATTCAATGGGCTGCTTTTCATTTTGTTGATGTTTTCCTTTGCTGTACAAAAGCTTTTAAGTTTGCCGAAACCGGTTTGGCTCAATGGATAGAGCATCGGCTTGGGGACTGAAGGGTCCCGGGTTCGAATCTGATCAAGGGCATGTGCCTTGGTTGCGGGCATATCCCCGGTAAGGGGTGTGCAAGAGGCAGCTGATCGATGACTCTCTCATCGATGTTTCTAGCTCTCCCTCTCCCTTCCTCTCTGTACAAAATCAGTAAAATATATTAAAAAAAAAAAAAAGCCTTTAAGTTTGATGCAGTTCTATTTGCTTATTTTTCCTTTTATTTCCCTTGCCCCAGGAGGCATATCAGAAAAAAATATTGTTATGAAAAATGTCTGAAACTTTACTCCCTGTATTTTTTTCTGGGATTTTTATAGTTTCAAGTCTTACATTTAATTCTTTAATCCATTTTGAGTTTATTCTTATGTAATATGTAAAAAGGTGATCTGACTTCCTTTTTTTTTGCACATATCTGTCCAATTTTTCCAACACCATTTTTTGAATAGACTGTCTTTACCCCGTTGTACGTTCTTGCTTCCTTTGCTGATATTAACTGACTATAAAGATGTGGTTTATTTCTGGGCTCTCTATTTTGTTCCATTGACCTATATGTCTGTTTTTATGTCTCATACCATGCTGTTTTGATTACTATGGCCTTGTAGTAGTTTGATATCAGATAGCATGATCCCTCCAACTGTGTTCTTCTTTCTCATGATCGCTGTGGTACCTACCTGGTTTAAGTCTTTTCCTCAACTCTATGGTCCAATGTTTTGTTTGTAACATCAGTAGCTGAAAATCTGTAATAAAAACCAAACAAAAAACTTTTTATCTTTTCACACAGGAAAAGGATAACAAGCCCAAAGGAAAGGAGCATGTACAACACTTTAAAATACAAATTAATATTTATTGGCTGCTTTCTGAGTGCTTTGAGAAATATGAAGAACACTCCAGAAATGCTGGCCATAGAGTTATGGAAGTATTAGCCCCAAAACATTCTATTATCCCAGTAATTAAAGTTTGATCAAAATTGTGAGTTAGAACCAAATTTTGCTTAGGATCAAATCTTTAATAAAAATGTCACAAATGTATAAGTCTATTATCAATTATATAAATTTCCCAAAGTACCTCAGCATAAAATAACCCTGGATAATAAAATAAGAATCAAAATATATGCAAAGACTGTTAAGTGGGGCAAAATAGAACTGTAGTAAAGAAAGAAATTTCAGACTGAAAGAAGCTACCTTAGGTAGATCGTGGGAGAATTCACATGAATTGTAATGGACAGCAGAATAAACATTTTACACAATATAATGATGAATAACCCAATAGTAAAAATAACACTTTAGCCTTTATTTAATCTACCTGCTAGGAGCTTAGCAAGATGTTTCATCTCTCCCCAATAACTTTCCCCAAAATCCTATGGCATTAAACTTTTAAAAAGGCAACATTTATACTTAATATGTATGATTTATAATAAAACTAAAATGATCACTTCATGGTATCACCCCATTAGAGAAAAATTTAGCAATATGTTATGAAAAACAAAGATGTGCTGTTCTAAAGTAAACAAACAAGAAGCCCTGTGTGAGACGAGTGCCTAGGATGTGAGACTCTCGTATATTGCTGGAGAGAAAGGTTAAAAACATCACTACTTTCTCATAATGTTAAACATCAAGTAACCACATGATCCAGGAATTCCAAGAAAAATAAAAACTAGTGAAATAAATAAAAATTAAAAATATTTCCACAAAAGACCAATGTTGATAGCTACATTATGCATAACAGCCCAAACACTAAAACAACCCAAATATCCACCACCAGCTGAATGGATAACTTGTGGTATAATCACCCAATGGAAATACTACTCAGCAATAAGATGGACAAGCTACCAACACATGTAACATGGATGGGTCATAAAATAATGTGTTATGCAAAATAATTCAGACCTAAAACAGATAAATTATATGTTTATACTTATATGAAGTTGAAATCCAGCAAAACTACTTATGATAATAGAAATCAGAAGAATGGTTATCTCTGGTGGGGAAAGGGAGATTAGATCAAGGGCTGATAACCTTCTGAGAGGACATGAAAGTTCTATGGGGTGGTGGTTACATGTACATACGTATTTGTTAGAACTCATCAATCTGTATGTTTAAAATGGGTGCACTTTATTGTATGTAAATTATGAAGAGTGTTAAACATTTTTTAAAGGTACATGATGAGTTCTCACTGGCATAGCACACTGTAGGTACTCAATCAATACAGAAGGAAAGAAGGAAGTGGGATAGGTAAGCAAACAGTTTTACAGTTATGGCCAAATAGGTATTCTGTACTATTTACCCTAAAAGAATTTACAATCAAGGCCAGAATATGATATATTAGCTTTGAACCAGTCACACCCCTTACTGGAGATAGAGCTCACCAACTTGGGCATTTGTCCCGACTAAGAATTGAACCTTGACCTCCTGGTTCTTAGGTCGATGCGTAACCACTGAGCCACAGCCAGCCGAGCCCAGTTCATGATCTTTAACAGCTACTTCGGGTGCCACGGCAGCTTTTGAACTATGCTGCCTCAGGAGGCTCCACTCTCAATTTCTGAATCTTCCTGTATGGCTTCTTCTCCATTTTTACCCTTCCCCTAGGTTGTGTTCAATGACCTGACATGCTGAATTTTTCCTGCTTTCCCAGCCGTGCTCACCTGAGACATGGGCTTCAGTGCCACAGCCACTAACCAACTCTATCCTCTCCTATGCTTGGCCTGCAAACCTAAGAACTTAACCTCTGAAAAACCTTAGGCCTTCCAATTCACCAGAGTAATGAGACTCTAAAATGTGAAAATTAAAGATTAGAAGTAGCAACAGGAGATAGTATATCAATAGTTGGCAATGAAAATGGATGATAAATACTTCTCAGATATGATGATTAAATGAAACATTCTTGAACATATACCTTATTCTCTTACCAATATATGAGCAGGTTTCTATACTTGCAGGACACAGATATAGGACCAAGTCCTTCATCCAATGGCTATGAAAAGATTTGAGTCCCAATAATAATTTCTTTTAAATTAACCTTGGGTTACAGATTAGAAAGTTACTAACACTATCTAGTAAAACAGACTCTGCCTTTCAGAGATTGGCTTTATCACATAAAATGCAAGCAAGGGTGTGCCTAAAAGCAGAGGGATAACGAGATTACTGTCCTTCCTCATTACAGTAAATAGGGAGGTAATTCATCTTCCAATAGAACATAACACGGGCTTCATTTTTTTATTTTTTATTTTCTTCAATAGAAACATGTTTAAATCCTTCCCATATCCTCCAAAGACCCAATCTTCCCTTCCTATTATTGTAATTCCCTACACTGACAAGATTTTTTGCTAAAATACACTCAATATGTTTCACTTCAAGCCTACCATCACCTAGTACAGTACTAACCTTATATATTGATAAGGTATTAATATATATCAATATATTAGTATATATTGATATCTTGATATATTGATATATTAAAATTCTCACTATGGAAACCAATGACATCTTAAACAACCAGAACAAATCAAGTCCAAGAGTTTTTGAATTCTTGAGGTTGGAGGGGCCGGTGTAGTTTACCACAATTAAAGCACTTGCTGTGCTCTCACTCTGTGCCAGGACTGTGTTAATAAGAATGTTTCACTTAATCATCATATCTGAGAAGTATTTATCACCCCTTTTCATAAATTAAAATTGAGGCTCAAAATTACCCAAATCCATATGGTGAAGCCTACATAATTCCAACGTTTTCAATTCTGTGACTTTTAAATGTATATATATATATTGACCTCAGAGAGGAAGGGAGAGGGAGAAATACAATAGGAAGATCTGTGATGAGAATCATTAATTGGCTGCCTCCCACCTACCCTCCACAGGGGATCAAGCCTGCTACGTGGGCATGTGCCCTGACCCAGCATGGAACCATAGGTTGGCACTCCACCACTGAACCACACGGGCTGGGCTTCTGTGATTTTTGACAGCAGTTCTGTTCCCAGTTCTCTTCCTAACTCTGTGGCCTTTTCTCTGTGGTCTCTTTCACTATTTCCTCACTCTCTGCTCATCACTGCTTCTCTTACTTCACATTCCATTTCCTCCCAGGACTGTAACTACACTATGTTAGTGTTTCTCAACCTTTTAACGTTCTCTATAAACAGTAAAACCTTGCTCTTTCTGTAGTTTGCATTTTGAAAACAGGTTTTTCCCAAATAGGAATTCTACGACTTGGATATGTGAATTATAGGGCCAAACTACACCGCCTCCTGCCTCTCAAGATCTGCTAACCTCTACAGATGAGTGATTGGTTTCATTCTCCCACGACTGAGAAGTAGCGATTGGTCTGTGTGATGTCCCTCAAGCCAATCAATCTTCCCTTTATCGCACCCCACTCCCAGACATCTTCCCTGAGTTACAGACAAAATTTACCAACTGTCTGATAAACATAGCTCCATGACTGTCTCCCCAGGCCCTTCGATTTAAAGCCATCCTAAAAACAACAACAAAACCTCTCTGATCAAACCTGAACCATCGCTTTTTGTTTTCCATTTTTGGCTAAAGGTATCCCAACCCAACCTTGTCTATGCTTTCAGGTCCCTATTGGCAAAACGGTTTTATGAGCACTAACTTCTCTGAACTCTTAGGTCAAAAATCAACATTAAACAATGGGTGCCTGGGGGTAAGAAATGCACAGTATTGCCCTTCTTCCTTGAGTTTACAAGCAGAAACATACCCAAGCCCATATTTTGTGTGTGTGTGTGTGTGTGTGTGTGTGTGTGTGAAGCCTATTCTCATCTATTATACAAAACAAAATTGAAGTACTTTACAAAATATTTTCACTTAATCCGTATTATAATCCCATAATTATCCCCATTTTATAGATGAAAAAGCTGAGGCTCAAAGGGATTAAGGTGATTTAACCAAAACCTTATAAGCGGGTCTAGTCCAGACCCCAAAATCCCAAGATTTGAGACTTCAATTCCAGTCTGTGAAATAAACTTCGCCACCATAAAGCGGGTTTGTGCAAAGCAGAGGGGCACACGGGTCAAGTACCAGAGGGGGGCTCGACCCTCCCTCCGGGCCCGCCCCTCCCTGCAACGCCCCCCCGGCCGCCCGCAGCCCTGCAGGTCCCCCGCGGCCTGTGTCTGCCCGCGGGGTCTGCGGGGATCGCGGGAAACCACGCTCCGCGACCCGAGGCGCGCCGATCGGGGGCAGCCGCCGCCTCCCCGCCGCCCGGCCCGACACCGAGTCCGGGCTCAGCCGCCGCCGCCGCCGCGCCTCCGGACGACCGGACGACCGGACGGCCGACGCGTCAGAAACAAGCGAACCTGGTGGAGAAGGCGGCAGCACGGCGGCCGGCGACCCCGGCAGCCCCAGGAGGCGGGAAGGACGCCGCGGGAGGGCTGGGCCGGCCTCCGGCGCTAACTGCATCCACCTACGTGCGGCAGACTCGGGGCCGCGGAGCCTCCTCCGGACAGGGCAGGGACGCCCGGCAGCCGGGCTGCGAGCGCCGATCTGAGGCAGAGGGCATCGCGGTGGGGAGGGGCGGGGCGGAGACGGGCCGGCGGGGGCGGGGCCCGCGGCTTGGGGAGGCGTGGCTTGTGGCGGGACGTGCGCCTCGGGGAGGCGTGGCTTGTGGCGCGAGGAGGCGTGGCTCGGGCGGGATGTGCGGCTAGAGGAGGCGTGGCTTTGGGCGGGGCTTGTGTTGTGAGGAGGCGGGGCTTGGGGCGGGACGTGCGGCGCGAGCAGGCGTGGCTTGAGGGCCGGGACGTGCGGCGTGAGGAGGCGGGGCGCGCGTCTGGGCGCCGCGGCCTCGTGACGCGTTTTCAAATCTTCAACCGCCGCAGCCCGTGGAGTGTGTGCCTCTCCGGTTCTTCCTCCGAGCCTTGAACCCGGCCCGGGCCCGGAAGTCCGGCGAGCGGGGCCTGTTGTCTCCACAGCGCGGCCGTGCGGGTCTGCGGAGCGGAGGCGGCCGGCGGGCCTCCGGGCCTCGGGGAGCCGTGCTTTCTCGCCCTCCCGGCCCGACTCCCTCTCCGGATCCAGCATGTAGGTGCCGGGCGGCTGCGATGAACCCCGGAGCCATGAGGATCCACAGCAAAGGAAATGCCCAGGGTAGGAAGCCCCTCCTCCGCCTGCAGGCCCTTTAACGGTTCCCTCCTCCCGGGTCCTCCGGGGATGCTTTGTGGAGTTCGCCCTTGGCGCCCCCGCTGCCTCTCTGGCGTGTGAACTGAGAGGAAGGTTCCCCTCGGTTCAGGGTTTTGCCGCAAAAAGGGAACGGCTCTTGGCGCAGCCCTAACTGCGGCCCCCCAGTTCCAAGGCGTGGGGGGCCCTTGTAAAACCTGAGAGCAGTGTGCGCCCCGGGGCCTCGCGGCTTCATCCTCGGCTTAAAAGCAGATGTTCCCGGCTTTTGGCTTCGTGATGGAAGCGGGCGGGGGGTTGTGGGTGGAATCTTGGTCTCCTCATTCTTTTGTGTTCTTCCCTCCTGAGGCTGAAAGGATTTGTGTTTCACACCCACCGCGGGCTGTTTTCATGTATCTCAATAGATAAACAAAACAAAACAAAAAAAACCTGTGAAGTTCACAGTCTCTCTTACTCTCCGGGTAATGTGCTGTGTGCCACAGTACTCTCCCTTTAGGAGCAGACGATGTTCTGAAAGGTAATGTTCAGAGCAGCTTGGAAGGAGTGAAGTGAATGGGGACCTGGGGCCTCACATGGAGACCCTGTAGTTCTTCACAGACAGACAGACAGACTCTCCATGAACCTACACCTCGGGCAGCGAGGCATCTCCGAGGACTGGGCCATTCTCGGAAACAGGGTTCTTGCATTGCTACATGTTTACTATTTTTTTTGTAACTGTATGTTTTTATTGACGTTAGACAGAGAGGAGAGGAGACAGCGGAAAGGAGAGGGGGTGAGAGATGGAAACACGGATCCCTGCCTCAGGCAGGGCCCCCACAGGGGCTCAGGCCCCCAGCCCTGGCCGTGCCCCGCCCCCGGGGATCCCCCTGGCGACCCAGTGCCCCCCGGGTCCACACTCAGCCTCCATGCCGCGGAGCCGCCCCCCAAGCTGGGCCCACTGTTGACCATTTGAAGTACCAGTTTTGAGTGCCCAGCAGAACGCCAGTGCTCCAGCAATATCTGTTGAGCAAATACCCCATGAAATTTGCACTTTAGGAGGAAAATCTTTCCATAAGGTTTTATGTACTCGTTCCTTACCTTCATGCATAAAACATAAAACGCATGGATCTTTTCTTCAGACTTTACTCTTGGATGTAAACAATAATTGCTTTACAATACAGTATCCGTTAAACTATATTGGGCATTTTTCCATCATCCTAAGTGGGACCACAAAGAAATATGGCTTAAATTGGGGGGATAAAAGATTTTCCCCCTTCTGTGATATGATTAGTGTATTAAAAAAACAAACCAAACCTTTATTTAAAACAATATAAGTTTGTTTTTTTCTGCAGAAAACATCTAATTCTAAATTTTTAAACAATAGGTGAAATCCAACTCAAAAATGAAAAAAACAGACCATCTTTGAAATCTCTGAAAACTGTTAACAAACCAGAAGAATCCAAATATAAGCCACTTTGGGGAAAGATATTTTACATCGACTTACCTTCTGTCACCGTTTCTGAAAAACTGCAAAAGGACATTAAGGATCTAGGAGGGGTAAGTCAAAATCATACACTGAAAAAAAGGGAAAAATTGTAACTAGTACTTTTTAATATATAATCATTTAAATGCCATTTTGGAAAACAAGTACCTAGTACAAATTTTTTATATCATTAATGGATAATTATCTGTTTTAACCTTTGTAGCCTGGTAAAACTTTCAGGTTTCTGTGATTATTAGTTTAAATAAGTAGTGTAAAGTTCACAAAGTGTGAGAAGTGAGGTGAGAATCCCTTGTCCTGGTGGAACTGTTAATTGTCTTTTCTTTGTAATGCTGGGATGTCTTCCAGATAGCAGGAACTCCTTGCTTATGATTATTGGAGAGCTGCATAAATTTGTCCGGATTAGCATAACACAAAGAATGTTATTTACAGAGCCAGGGAAACCTGAGACATAAAATTGCTCTTGAGTGATAAATAGTCTCAACACAATGAATGTCATTAAGGGAACAACAGAATTTTGGATTAAGAATTTGGAAAACATGCTTCTTTTCTACTCTATAGATTGAGTACCGTATTTTTCGGACCATAAGACGCACCGGACCATAAGACGCACCAGTTTTTAGAGAAGGGAAATGAAGAAAAAAAGATTCTGAAACAAATAGTGTCCTAAAATATTTTATGTGCATTAAAACCCAACATCACAGTCATAAACACATGTAATCAACCCTGTAAAGTAAACAGCAGCATTTAGAACCATTTTAGAGCCGGGCAAGCACACAGAGACCACACAGAGCTGGGCAAGTAAAAAAACTTTTTTTTTAAAGTATATGTGTAGGCTATATTTGGACCATAAGACACAGGGACTCCCCCCCCCCCCCCCCCCCCCCACTTCTGGGGGGGGAAAAAGTGCGTCTTATGGTCCGAAAAATACGGTAAATGATTAGGAAATTAGAAAATTTGGGTAAAATTCTAAGATTTTCTTGGGCTTAAGGTTAATTAATATTAGGTAATTTTAGCAAGTAAGGCTACAGTTTTATTAATTTATTTCCTAATTCTTCTTGATTAAACGGTCTCTGCTGCACTTTGTTTAGGTTAACATCTTGAACAAGATCTTGTCTTTCCAAGAGTAGATATTTGCGGAAGCACAAGTAACAAGTTGACTGGAATTATTGTGATTTTTAACTTACCTATCTTTGAAAAGCTATTTTACTTTTTTTGCTATTCATTTTCTTAAAACCTTGAACACATTTTGTCATAGTACCCCTATATCATAATCATAACCATATGATTATATTCCTAAAAGTCATGTTTCGTATAGGCCTGCTACCAAGTTGACTGGACCACCTGTCAAGAGTGTCTTAAATTTTTAAGGACCTTAGACATTGAGTAAAGACCCCTTTATTTTAAAATTAAATATTTGAGGATCAGGAGAGGGTAACTGGCCTAGGAGAGGTAAATGACTAGTCTGATTCCCAGACTAACATGCTGTTGCACCATTCTGTTCCTCTAGCAATTAATGGTTTAAAAAAAAAACAATCCTATATAGTTTTGCAGCTTTCTCATATGTGATGAATAACCATTAGCCCTTTTGATCTAAATCTGTGACTTTAGATTTGTGTTTTTAGCAGTGGACACTTCAGATGAAATCATTTAGATGTCCAAAGTGTAAAGCCAGTAAAAAGGGAACTGCTCTAGCTAAAATAGAGTATAGAAGCTAATGCTGGGACTGCTGGCCCTGTCCTTCTTTTTCTCACCTCTCCCCATCAGTTCCTGAGGCATTTGAAATAAATTTTGAATTAATTTATGCATTTGATAATAAGACTTACTGACTTGATTCCTTAATTTTTTTCAGGGAAAACAAAACAAAACGTTTTTATAAAATTCTGATCTCTCCATACACTATCTTTCCAATAATTTAGTGATGTCCTTATTTCTGTCCCTAGCACATTACCATTTCTTTTTTTTTTTTTTAATAAATATTTATTGTTCAGATTATTACAGGTGTTCCTCTTCCCAGACCCCCATAGCTCCCTTACCTAGCCCCACCCCATGCCCTTACCCCCACCACTGTCTTCAAGATTTTTGTCCAATCTCTTCCCGCATCCCACACACCCCCTACCCCCTGAGAATTGTCAGTACACTCTTTCTGTGTCCCTGATTCTATTACATTCATCAGTCCATTCTGTTCATCAGATTTAAAAAATATATATTTTATTGATTTTTTACAGAGAGGAAGAGAGAGGGATAGAGAGTTAGAAATATCGATGAGAGAGAATCATCGATCAGCTGCCTCTTGCACACCCCCTACTGGGGATGTGCCCGCAACCAAGGTACATGCCCTTTGCCGGAATCGAACCTGGGACCTTTCAGTCCATAGGCCAATGCTCTATCCACTGAGCCAAACCAGTTTTGGCACTCACTTGATTTTTAGATACACTTGTTAGTAGGTATGTATTTGTTCTAATTTTGTTCATAATTTTTATCTTTACCTTTTTCTTCTTCCTTTTCTTAAAGAATACCCTTCAGCATTTCATATAATCCTGGTTTGGTGGTGATGAACTCTTTTAGTTTTTTCTTGTCTGTGAAGTTCTTTACCTGACCTTCAATTCTGAATGATAACTTTGCTGGGTAGAGTAATCTTGGTTGTAGATTCTTGCTATTTATCGCTTTGAATATTTCTTGCCACTCCCTTCTTGCTTGCATAGTTTATGTTGAGAAATCAGCTAATAGTCCCTTGTAGGTAATTAACTTTTTTTCTTGCTGCTTTCAAGATTCTCTTTCTTTTGCTCTGGCATTTTAATTATGATGTAGTCCTCTTTGGATTCCTCTTGTTTGGGGTTCTGT